TCTTAATACGGATCTTCTAGATCTGTTTTGCTTGCAGGGGATCAAATGCTTTCAAAATGATAAAAAATATTCTCTGAAAGTTTTAAACATGGGTAAAATTTTATTGGTCTCTTAGAATTTTCCAACTTAGCAACAGGTGGATATTAACTTTGAGAATAACCTTGTATTTGCTTATTTTGATCATAAATAAAAATATGCAACAAAAATTTGATATTTTTAATAAATTAAGTATTTAATTAGAAAAAGAATCAAGAAACTTTGGTTAAAGTGCGGACTATATTAAAGTTAATATTAAGAGCTAAAACTTTCAGAGAATTTTTTGTATCATTTTGGAAGCATTTGAGCGCCTGGAAGCAAAAAAATTAGAAAATATCCATTAAGGACCACCCTAATATATATATATATATATTATAATATATTATATATATTATATATAAGTATTTTATATTAGAAAAATATAAAATACTTATATCGCCAGAGATAATAATAAATACCCTCATATCCTACTCATAGAAGATGCTCAAAATTAAAAATTTAATAATATTATATTATTAAGACATAAGATAGAAGTAACTAGATTTATTTAACTATATTTATTATTTCTGACTTAGATATATTTTTTGGAAATTTTATGTTTATGATCAAGAAAATAACCGAAATGACTTATTCACTATTCTAGCAGTAATTTTCTTCAATATTAGGCTAGAAATATTGTAAATGTGATTATATTATTATAATAATTTATTATTATCAAATAATCATTTACTGCAATATAAAACAGGTCAATTTTGTTCCAACTTTCGTGTGGAATAATTGAAGTTATTACCTAATGACTATATTGTAATAATTATATAAAGCATTCAAACATAAGAATTGTATCCGGTTTGATTTATCTAAATATTTCAATGAAGCAATTTTCTTTTTGAATTTGCTTTAAATCTGCATATTTTTTCAATTCGTTTTAGAATCTGCTCTAAATCTGAAAAAATCGAATTATTAACATTATTCGAACTCTCCAAAGAGGATTTGAGAATTTTTGTTTGAAAAAGCTCTCTATGATATTAAGCTAAAGTTAATTTAAACTATCTTACGTTAATAAAATATAGAATGTTGGTAAATTTATTTATAATATAACCTTGCAATATGTTTATTAGCACTCTCCTCGTGCTTTTGCCATAAACCGTTATTACTAATCATTCATCTTTAGTTAGTCAAAGTGCTGGTAGAAATTTTATTTGAACTAATTAAAAATTATAAACAATTTATTGTTTGCTGATGATTATTTTCGTAAGGGCCATTAATTATTCATGTGATCGATTTCAAAAAAATTGACTAAAAAAAAATCCCATACGCTAATTTTTTGAGGACTATTGTTCTCAATTTTGCGCGACAATCAGCCAAGCCGTTTCTTTGTGAATTGCAGAAAATTGAAAGTGAAAATTTTTTTGTCCAAGTTTTAGCCCGCATTTCTGAATCGATTTTGAAAATTCAAAAACTGTTCAAAAGATAATGTTTAGGAATCGTGCTGATTAGTTTTTGATAAAGATCGGACGAGCCGTTTTCTTGTAATAAAGTGTTAAAAAAAATTTCGACGATTTTTTTTATTTTTTTGACTGTTGATACCATTGTCTTATGCATCATACTAAAATATTACGGCCCTACGACAAGTCGTTTAATTTTAAAAATTCTTCAGTTTGCAAAAATTAGTATCGTTTTTGGCATTTGTCAAAATTTAACCTTTTATCGACGTTTGCTCAAAAACGCCTGAACCGATTTCAGAAATTTAAAACCATTTTTATCAGTTTAGTGCGACGATCGGCCAAGTCATTTCTATGTGATTTGAAAGAAAGTGTTAAACTTTTCGTCCACATTTAACTCATACATACTACCGAATCGATTTCAAAAATCAAAAACTGTTCGAAACATATTAGTTATGAATGATACTGATTAGTTTTAAGTGAAAATCTATTGAGCCGTTTTCTTGTAATAACTGTTAAAAAAAAATTAAGCCGATTTCATGAAACTTTTTTTGGCGATATATATCATAGTATTATAGCTGAAAGCTATTCAGCTAACCTACTGAAAAATAACGGCTTTTTGGCGTGGTTTTATTTTGAATATTCATAAAAATTTGAGAAAATGAGTAGTTTTTTAAAGACGTTTAGTAAAATTAAAATTAGACGATTTCCTTGGTATAACGATAGAGTACTTAGTTTTAATGAACATACTAAACCATTAAAGTCCTACGAAAACTGATTCGATAAAAAAATGATTGATTTTTGGAAATTTGCTTTTAGAAAATACTCCGAGTTGAGGTGTTCGTTCGTTTTCAATTATGTGTACGGCATACTTTTAATCATTCATAAAAAATAATTTATTTTATTGATTAAGTCGATTATTTACACATATCGGCAAGTTCATGTAATTTGCATTAAGGCAAAATACCAATACCAACTAATTTAATTTTTTTACACAGGTTTTATTTAGTAGCAAAATTTCCTATTTAACCAATTTTGTACCAACTCTCACTCTTACCTCCCATTAACCTCATCGTATTATGATTCTTCCGGTTTAATAACTAAAAACTCCCGATTAAATTTTTGCAAAACATCGCAAAAATAATTGTCACGAATAATAATAATCATTCGTCATTGTAGTTTATCATTATAAATATCGGTAAAACACTATATGGATGTCACGAAGCTAATTCAGCGTATAATTTTCTATTGTCCACAATTCGCGCATGTCATCGGGATCTAATTATACATGGAACGATTTTCTTTGATTCTTTGGCGATATGGTGTTGATTATATATTTGTTTTATGTTGAATATGAATTTGAATGAAAATAGAGTCGGTAATTATTGTACGAAGATCAAATGAAAATCAAGTTCATGTTTGGTTATTTATTTGTTTTATTTGCTCTCTTGGTTACAATGGTAATGAAATCTATATATTGCCAATTCTGATCTATATAGTTGCAATTAAGAACATAGATACATTGAGTACTATACCGAAATATGGTCTGATAGTTAAGCTCACGGATACATGTTGACGGGGTTATGAGTTCGAACATTTATTTACAACATTCATTTTAAATTTGAATGTTAGATAGAAAAGCATAAACATTTTTTTTAAACATAGCTACGAAATGCTCATATTTCCAAATATAATACTTTTGTTTAACAGTTCTTTTAAAATTTTGTTATCATAGCAATATTTATAACAATTCTAAAAATAAATTTAACCAAATAGCTCCAACCAAAATATTTACTCAAATTTTCTATGTGACATCTTCAAATATTATTGATAGCTTACTTCTTACATGATCGTCATATTTAGGGGGCGTCCATTAATCACGTGAGGCTTTTAGGGGAAGGGGGGGGGGGGGGCGTTGACAAAAGTCAGAAAATTCACGAAAAGAGAAACGGGGAGAGAAAGAGGCCTAGTAAAATATTACGTGTATTTTTTATCTGAATTTAAAAAATAATCAAAAATTTAACGATTTTTTCGTAAATTCGAAAAATTTGTTCGAAAAATTGTACGTAACTAAAAATACACGTGATGTTTGGTGGGGGAGGGGGGGTGTTAATTTTAATATCACGACGTGTCGCCCAGGGGGAGGTGGATCCAAAAATCTCTAAAAAAATCGATCACGTGATTAAGGGACGCTCACTTAAGGGATATTCGAAAAGATACCATATAAATTATTATGATGATGAAATATTATATTTGCTTTACCAAGTTACTTCAACGAAATCCTTTATATAATAAATTACACAAAATATCTAAAGTGCAATAATATTAATCTACAAACGTCTGGTGTGATAATTTATTGCTCAGTGTCATAAACTTGCTTCCTGAAGTTCGTTATAGATAAGTTAATTATCATTATGTTACTTGAAATTATCCATAATATTTACTTAATTTCTTTTACTTATTTATCTATGCTTAATTATTTACATAATTTATATTAAATACTAGCTGACCCGGCAAACGTTGTTTGGCTAAGTAAATGTATATTCTAATCAATTTCTAGAGATATTCCGACATTCCGATATTCCGAGATTCGGATATTCAGATATTCAGATCTTCAGATCTTCAGATATTCAGATATTCAGATATTCCGACATTTGGATATTCAGATTTTCAGATTTTTAGATATTCAGATATTCAGATATTCAGATATTCAGATATTCAGATATTCAGATATTCAGATATTCAGATACTCAGATACTCAGATATTCAGATGTTCAGATATTCAGATATTCAGATGTTCAGATATTCAGATATTCGGATATTCAGATATTCAGATATTCAGATATTCGGATATTCACATATTCAGATATTCAGATATTCAGATATTCAGATATTCAGATATTCAGATATTCAGATATTCAGATATTCAGATATTCAGATATTCAGATATTCAGATATTCAGATATTCAGATATTCAGATATATTCAGATATTCAGATATTCAAATATTCAGATATTCAGATATTCAGATATTCAGATATTCAGATATTCAGATATTCAGATATTCAGATATTCAGATATTCAGATATTCAGATATTCAGATATTCAGATATTCCGATATTCCGATATTCGATATTCCGATATTCGATATTCAGATATTCAGATATTCAGATATTCAGATATTCAGATATTCAGATATTCAGATATTCAGATATTCAGATATTCAGATATTCAGATATTCAGATATTCAGATATTCAGATATTCAGATATTCAGATATTCAGATATTCAGATATTCAGATATTCAGATATTCCGATATTCCGATATTCCGATATTCCGATATTCCGATATTCCGATATTCCGATATTCCGATATTCAGATATTCCGATATTCAGATATTCAGATATTCAGATATTCAGATATTCAGATATTCAGATATTCAGATATTCAGATGTTCAGATATTCAGATATTCAGATATTCAGATATTCAGATATTCAGATATTCAGATATTCAGATATTCAGATATTCAAATATTCAGATATTCAAATATTCAAATATTCAGATATTCAGATATTCAGATATTCAGATATTCAGATATTTCGATATTTCGATATTCAGATATTCCGATATTTCGATATTTCGACATTCCAATACTCCGACATTCCGATATTCCGATAGAGCTAAATGTACAAAAAATGGCAGTTTTTGAGAGAACTAAGTGTCCGATTTGAATGATTCAACGAACTTTCTGCTTGTCTTAACAAAATAATTGCTTTTGGAAAAAATAATTTTTTTCAAATTTTATTTTCTTGAAATTTTTAAGTTACGAAGTTTCAAGTAACATTCGATGAATTAACAAACAATTATCTGACTACGTTCGGTAAAATTGCCAGCTACTTCATTATTGTAGAAATGTATTTTTTTATGTCTTTCAAAAATTCGTTATCTACACTCTTTACCCTATAGGCGGGGTAACTTGGAACGGCCAGGTGGCAAACACGTTTAAAACCTTATTTTAATTTAAAGGTATTTTACAAAATAATTACATTAACTAATGCTAAAAAACTACCAACGGAAGAAAATACTTTTATTATGGATTTTCAAAGATTACCGATATTTTGTCAGTACAATCAAACTGGAAGTTTTATATACTTTCTATAGAAAACATGGTATAATCCAATCCAAGTTTTTTTGGTCTTTCGACTTATATTGTCGTAAATATTCACGTAAAACTTCCTATTAAAAGTAATTGAACACCATCGGTCAAGAAAGTTTGACATTTCACGTAATAGCCACCGTCTATTGTTTTATTCAAATTACGCTTCTACAAAAATTTTCAAATTAAAAATTCTACGCGATTTTAGAATAATATCTCACCTTTTGGACTTTCTCTGGATTGGCACGAATTATTCATGTCTAAGACTGGCCAAATCAGTTTAGCCGTTTTCTAGTTTTACTTAGACATTTGAAAGAGAGCTCCATTTTTATATATAAGATATACATTTCTGTAGTAAGGCTATTTACGATGTTATTCATTTGATGATGAAGATATTTTTGCAAAAATCGGAATCGTGTAATTCAAAAATTATAAAATATACTTAAAAATTAAAAGTGTGATCGACATTTTTTCTGTAATTTTGGCGAACAGTACCAATTCCAAAAACAGTATCATTTTAATCATAACTCTAAAATTTTTTTTGTCTAATTTGATATTACCCCCATGGCAAATAGTAATGCCCCCCCCAGTGGACAACTACGTAGCAAATACAGTGAATATCAATTAAAAATACTAAATAATAGGGTGAAAAGTATTACCATAAAAATTTTATTTCTACCCTATTTGGGGTAATTTAACCCGGTTTCCTGACCACTGCTCTAAATTTAATAAATATTGTAGATCTGGACTTTAAAACCGAAGATTCAGTACTAGACTTAATACATAAGGTAAATCTAGACTTATCAGAGAGGGTAGATCTAGAATTATCAAAGAGCTTAATTCTAGACTTATTGAAAAGCGTAGATCTAGACTTACCAGGGAGCGTAGATCTAGACTTACCAGGGAGCGCAGGTCTAGACTTGCCAACAAGGTAGATCTAATTTTACTAAAAATCGCAGATCTAAACATACTGAAGAGCATAGAAATAGATTTACTTAAAAACGTAGATCAAAACTTACTTCCAAAAGCATTCTAATTAAAACTAATTTTATTTTTTTTTCTAACCCCAGGTCGTTTTGGAAGAGTAATAGTGGTTCCAAAAGATGGAGACAACCTGCTCCGGGCAGAAGTGTGGCACGAATTGCGATTGCTGGACGATCTCATACAAAATGCCACAGTTCAGTGGCCTCCTGCAAAAGGCTTAGGAGCAGGAATGGACGACGATGAGGAACCTCATACTTTTACTTACCATGATGCCTGCGCCAGGTGGCAGCAGCAGTGTTTTACGAATGATATCCTGAATTTGGACCACATTATCGAAGATGTAAGTGATAATTATTTTATTTTTAGAACTTAGATTTAGATCAATGTGCTTAATATTTTTAAATCAATATGAATTTGCAAAGATGTCATTAGAAAATCAAATTGGATCTATGCGCAACTCTACAATATTATTATTTCTTGAGTATGAGTATTATCCCGAGAGTTTCCAAAATCCATTACTGAGCAAACCGACAAAACAACAAAAATGTATTCTTACATCATTAATCTTTTTATCCTTTTTTGCAAATTAACCTGCCTCCATAAATTCACATTTTCTTTTGTTATTTACTTAAAATTACCTTCTATGAAATAGTTGCATCCTATTTTTTGCATTTATGTTATTAGCAGAGGAAGCTGCATATACTTTGAATATTAGTAAAACATGAAAAACTATGCCATTGCTGGGAAAAAATATAACGGATTTTGCTATAATTTCCTGTAATTATTTTTATTAACATAGCCACTTATAAATTGTAAGTTACAATGTATTTGTTGTTACAGTAGGAAAATTTACAAGAAGAATTTCTGGATCGAATTTCTGGCTCACTCGAGCTATGTCCATTTTTGGAATACCTGCATAATATATTTCAGAAGCAAAAGACGTATTTTTTTCTCGAAAATAGTAATCAGGATACAATGAAATTTCACAAGTTATTGTTACATGAAAGAGAGAAAAAAATTAGAATAGAAAAAAATAATAATTTAGAGTTCACTCTATGAGAGAAGTGTTTCATTTGATTTAGTAATGAAATATAATTGTTTTAGAATCCTTGATCTACACATATTTTATAATTTGTTTAGATTTTTTAAAGTTTTTAAGTTGGTGCTTACGTGTAGAGCCTCGGCCTTGCATTTATTAAGTTCCAATTGTTAAAATTCAAATATCACTACAATTTGGAAATATATTTGATTGGATTGCCATATAATAAAAATTATAGGTAAAAAAGAATAGGATTGTCTTCTATTAGCTCTTAGTAAAAGATGAACCATCATACACCAGCTTATAGAATATCAAATTTCTAATTCCAGCTAGAAAACAAGCAGCAATTTTTAGGATTTAACTCTAAGAGCACCCATACTAGTTACTCATGTAATTTCGTTTCTGTGAACTATCATTTATTTATAAAGGCATTTATTATTAAATTATCTGATACCAGATTGCTTTCTATATCAAGACCTTTGATCCATCGTTCGTTTGAAATATTGCCGTTCAAATCCACACCAGTAGAAAGTGTTGATACTAAGTTTTTTGATTTTGGTATTTCCTATGTAATCTTATATAATTAGAACATAATTCATCTTAACGTCATTTAATGATTGAGGCAAAAACTTCGACAGGTTAGATTAAGTTATTAAGTGTAAACCGTAAAAGACAATTTAATATTGTTTTGTTGCCATGTAATTAAATTTTAAATACTATTTGTCTTATTTTCTAGTTTACTAGTTGACTACGCGTTTTATAATTATATATGTATTTTAACAATGAGTACTTTAGCTAATTAACTTCTTGAAGGAGATGTTTGTTTTGCCATAAAATCCGAATTGCTAATTTTATGATTTCTCGACGTTTTAGGTCATTCTGAATTGAATGAGACCAAATTTGGGAAAAGCAGATTTTTCACCTTTTGTCAATTTCAAAATTTGTAAGTCATTCGATGTAACGCGATAGGGATTGCCGTTTGTCAGTTTTGCACCACGATCAGCCAAGGCATTTCTTTGTTAGGGTAAAACTTTATAGGGTAAAACTTTACTTGCTTTTGAGATATCGGTGGTAGACCACTTTACCCGCGGACTGTTAAAACTCGCTCAAACACATATAAATTAATTCTTGTAAATTTTATTATTTGGTTAATATTGTTATAGCAAAACTTAGCTTTTTTGACTAATGCAATGTGCTATATTACTTCAAGTAAACAAGTAAAAAAGAACTAGAATTATGAATGTATAAATTATTACAGACTTAAGTAATCAACTTATACATGACTAATTTCAAATATAAACAAATAACAAATGTTTAATTAAACTAATTGAATGGAGCCTGCATGACTCAATTTAATCATAAACATTATAAGTAATGATTAAGAAGGAAAATAAACAATACCAATAATTAAAATGCGAATGTTGATATTTCTCAGAATTTGTGTTAGTAATATTTGAAACAAATACACCAGATTAAAATTGTTTAATGTTTTGTAATTCAAATTTGTTTTGCGAAAATATACAAGTTCGATAATAATACACAGCAATAAACTTTTGCATAGTAAATATAAATATGTGAACCAGAAATTTGATATGGAAATAAAGCTGATATATTCAATTACAACATATAAAGATAACTTTTGTAATATGATGATAACTTTTGATAAATGTTGTAAATTCTTGGACATGTTTAATACTCGTAAATCAAACAAATAAACGTCATCGTTTTTTGAAAAAAATTTATGAACCTCATACATAAGGTCTATGGAATTCTCACATATAATTTATAAGTACTACAAATAATTGTGTTTTAAAAAAACAGATATCAAGCAGTAGTGATATTCATTTTTCCTTAAAAATATAGATCTTCTAAATATAGTTGTATCATATACGGTAGTGACAGTCATCATGTGAGATAAGTTTCAAGACGGAAAAATGTAGTATGTTTGTTTGAACAAGTTTCCATTATTGCGTTTAGTCAGACAACCGTATAGTCCAGTCATTTAAGCTTAAATTAGGTAAGAATCTCGGAATTCGAGATACCCACATATGATAGGGTTACAATACCATATGTAGGTTTTTTAGACAACTATAGGGTTTCAATATTCAAGTATTTACAGACTACTTAAAACTTAAAACCTACATACCATATGTAGGTTTTGAGACAACTATAGGATTTCAATATTCAAGTATTTACAGACTTACAGCTGGATATCTCGAATTCCGCGGTGAACTTACTTTAATGACTGGATTAGAACTCGGTCTCCTCTACAATTATTCGGTTGTTTTCAAACGAATGAGAAAATTTTTATAGATATTAAAAAAATCCCAAATATATCCAAGTTTTTCATCTAAGAAGCTATCCCAAGACTAGACTTTAAAACAATTTACAATAGAAGATCATGATTCCAATCAACTCTTGACATTAGGGTCAAATCGTTTAAAGATCCACTTCCTTCTTCTTAGATCATTCATCAAAAGCATACAAATTAATTACTAACATGCAAACGGTTATAAAATTACAGATAATGAGTAGTTAAAATGGTGAGTAGTTTAAATGTTAGGTACACACAAAACTGACCTATGGCAAATAGCATAAAAAATAGAAATTTAAATACATACTTTCTTAAATATCTCTTTCTCTTGAAACAATGTTTTAGAAGACTATGATATTTATGTTGGGTGATGTAAATATTAGCCTTCAGAGATGTATATATTCCCAAACATTTATAGCAATTAGTGGCAATAACTTCAATTAATAAACAACTAAATTGTAAGATTATGCAATAATTTTATATGCAAATAAAATCAAAACTAAGCTTTTCATACCTATCATTATGTTTGGCACGCTTCGTTAATTCTGCGATTATAATTTAGTGAAAGGATCAAAGTAGTGCGGTAGATAGTTCAAATATTTTTTTACCATATACATTTCCTTGTTTTATGAACTTAACAATTGCAAAACAACAATTATAACAGAAAATGCACATATTCTGCGCTCGAATGCCCTGTCACTTATTAAAATAGAGTTATGGCTTTGAGGCGATAATAGAGACATCATAATAAGGAAATGTGATACCGACAAACAATATGATTTGCATTATAAATTATCCACATATATCTCTCCGTTTGACGATATAATTTAATTGAATATTCTCAATAGATAAATATATGTTTGAATAAATAGGTTAGAGCGGGGCTTGAAGGTCCGCGGGTAAAATGGAGCACCACTAATTTCTTGTATCTTTTTTTTTTGGTTGTGAGCACTTCTGTTTAGTTTACGAGATCTTAATATAAATTTTGAGTCTATGTTATTTTATTGTTTTATAAGATGTATTTTTATTTAACTTCCCGTAGGGTAGTTATAGTAATGGGCCGAAAATCGAAAGCGAAAATTTTTGCATATCTTCACGTTTTGAAGGTTTCTGAATATTTTGGCATACCTCTGTGTGTTCGGTGTGTGTTTTGTATGTCCACATTTTTTTCGTCCACGGATTTAAATGGTTCAAAAAACATTAAATTCCTATTCATAGGGAGAAGGTGATTAGTTTTTGGCAACGGCAGGTCCAGCCGTTACGGAGATACGAAGCAAAAGTGCAGAAAATATAAATCGAGATTTTGAGAAAACGGAGTATCCGATTTGAATGATCTGAAAAACATTCAATTTCTAATGATTGGGAGAAGAGGTGATTAGTTTTTGGCAAAGGCAGATCCTGCCATTTCGAAAACACAGAGCTAAATTTACAAAAAATGACAGTTTTTGAGAGAACTAAGCATCCGATTTGAATGATTCAAAGAACTTTCTGCTTTTAACAAAATAATGGCTTTTGAAATAAAAATCGTTTCAATTTTTTTACATATCGAAAATAATTCAGATTTTAATTTTAATTCTGACTAAAGTTCTAGAGCTCACTATATATTTTAAACGAATAATTTTAACTTTGCAATTCAGTTTATATAATTCTTATAAATATTAGACAATGATACAATATTTATAATAATCTATTTGAAAACATTTAATATTCCTCTAACATTTCGTTACGGTACGGGAAATTCCATCAATTAGTCTTAAGGCACGATGCCATACACCACTAGTTTTAAGTTAGATTCAAGTATATCTTCTATAAAGGCCTACATGTGGGTGGGGTAAAAATGACCATCTAAGCCTTTGCTCTGTCGAAGATGTAAACAATAAAAATCGCAATTAAAAAAGGAAATTTAGGCAAAAAAACAGTTTTAGAAGAGATAAATAGTTATTCCAACTCTCTGATGTTGTATTTATATTAAACGCACATTAAAAAT